TGTTCATATAAATGAGTAGTGAGTACATGCAATTTTTTTTCTTTAACTTCCACAGTTTTTCATTTTTATAATCACAACTCAGCAACAATGGTCTCAGTGCTTCTCAAAAATCTTAAACTGAAAATAACAATCCTGCTAATAATGTAGGAAATTCAATTTTGGGTAAAAGTATAACAAGGCTTTATCCTTTTCACTTTGTAAATAATAACTTAATTGCTGGTGTTGTGCAAAGTCAGGTATGTTCAGCTAAGAAAACAAAGCTTGACATCCAGTCATGTTCTGTCTTTAATTTTTAATGCACCACTGCTGTACAAACACATTACAAAGCAAAAAAACTAAAATATGTTTCTAGGAACAGGCAAATACCAACCAAACATAAAATATATATAATATACAAAATAAACATATTTTATTACCGCCCTAAATAGAAGTAATACATAAAAAGAAAAACAAACTCAACAGATGCCACCTCAATGTGCTTCATTACATCCCACTGTTTAATACATCAGCAAAAATGGCATCAGCTGAGGTAAACACATTCTAAAGCTATAAATAAATCACTATTCAGATGTAAACAAACAGGTTTAAATTTATAATGCAGTATTAACCATTATAAATTTTAGGACTCTGCGAATCAACACATGAAGAGCATTATCTGTTCATGTGTGAATTTGCCAGCTTAAACTAAACACATTATAAACTTTTAACAGAGAAGCTGTTTTATATTATAACCAATGACAAGGATCTTAACATCGTTCGAAACGTGAATCATCGTGACTTTCTGCCAGCATTGCAGTAGAGAACCATAGAAACCACCATGGCTGCAATCTGTGGGAGAAGAAAACTCATTAATAATTGATCAGATTTTGTAGAAAAAAAAGCGGTTTTTAGCTTTCTTCTAAGTATATAAAGAAAAAAATGTTAAAACAAAAAAATAAATAAATAAATAAAATGGTGTAATAATCTACCTCAATAGCAGCTATTCCGAGAGCTACGCCGGCAATGATGAAAGAGTTATCCTCCAAAAACTTCACCAGTTTAGTAAAGCAACCATCAACATTCTGCAATGGAAATGGATGGATTTTAGTTGAGGAAAGGACAGGTAGCCACTGCCCCTTTGAATCCCTGAATTAAGCTAAACAAAACATGGTTGGTCTCATACCGCCATGTGCGCTCCAGACTCATTACAAGGTATGCCTGGTGTACTGCAGCATGGGCTGGGGTATCCCCTTGTCAACACGTTAAAAGGCGAGCCATCAAAGTCAGTGTAGTTCTTGTATCCGCAGCACTTGAACTGAAAACAAGTAAAGTATTAATTAAAGAGGTACTTTACAAAGAAATGCCTCCATGAAACAAAGGTTGCAATAAGCTGATTAATAAGGAATAAATCCAGCACCTCCTCCATGGTTGTATTCCACAGCGTGGTCATGTCATTGTCCTCCCCGTACTTTCTTTGAATGGCGTCTTTCACATCCCCCTCCAATTCCTCAAACATTTCATCCACCTGGGAATGAGAAATAAACAGTAACACATCATTTCTTTTTGCGTTTCGAAAACACATTCTGCAACTTTCTTAATCAGATCTGTAAAGCTTAAGACCCAAAAAGGCCCTGGTTTATTTTTCAGAAGCTCTTACAACATCAGTGAAGGCAAACAGCAAAATGGCTCCGGCGACCTCGACAAGGAAGATGATCAACACGATGCTGAAGAACTGAAGGGGCAGGAAACAACAAACTTTTTCTTAGCACCCAGTAAATAAAACAAAATGGTTGCAATTTGACATATTATATATATTTAAAATCTATCTTCTTTATCTATAAAATGATTAACCCACCGTCAGCAGCATGCATCTGCTCTCCTTGACAGCTCCACAGCATCCCAAAAAGCCTACAATCAAAAGTAGAGCTCCCACGCCGATCAACACGTAGCCTATGACGACCACTTGGAATATCTCAGTTGGGGCGTTTTCCACAAAATCAAATAAACCAAGAAGCGAATCGCTGTCCACCACCACCCATATACCAACTGCCAGACCGGCTATGCCACACAGCTGCCAAAACAGTAAAGCATTAGACAAAGTGCAACAGCATGACATTTCGACAGGTTAACGATGACCCTACTGCTGCACATGGAAATATATGCCAAATAGTGTTATATAAAAAAAACTCTTGCAGGGATTTTCAACAATTATATGATCAAACAAAATGGTAAGATATAATAATACTTACAAAGATGGCACCATTGAAGATGAACATCATAACTTTGAGGAAACCTGTGCACATCTTGGCTGATTTGTGCTGATGAACAGAGAAGAAAAAGATCAGTTTAGAAAGATTTTGCGTCTTAACTACTTTATTTTGGACTTCCTGTTTCACATTCTCTTAAAAGAAAGATTTGCATGGACTAAAAGTACAGGTGGACACAGAATGGGGCAAACCGGATCAGGTTTGGTGAAATATTAACCCAGGCAAACTGCAGGAAAAAAAACAGTGGGCAGCTGTAATCTTCTTTAAATAATGCATGTTTTTCATGCTCGCATAGGGCAGAGTTTCTCTTTAAGTATCACCGAGGCTGAATAATCAACAGGCATATTATTACTGAAGTAGTTATAATTTCCTGCATTTAATTTCAGTATTAATAAATGTTATATGTTATATAACATATTTGATATAAACTTATCAAAATAACACCTGATTTTCTCTCAGCAAAAGAAGTGTTATTTATTACTGTCCTAGCTGATGGCTGACCTCACAGCCAAGGGTTTATGGTTTCAAACAACACCTTGTTCTAAAAGTCCAGCGTTGTAATCTTCCCCAAACAAAAGCGCCATTAAAATCATCCTTGACCCAAATGTTGCACCATTAATACTTCTCCTTATTTACCGTTGGGCTGGGTTTTATAGTTATTGAGGCTTTTTTACTGTCCTTATCGCGACTAGTGGCAATAAAATGCTCACATGACTGCAGCAAAAGCCTTGCTTGCCTCACTGCCCTAAAAACAGACAGAAGGATTATTTATCCTGCTCATTCTTACTGTGTACGTGTTATTTCTGTTAGCAAAAATATAGAAATAAAAAAAAACATTTGTTCTGTTTGATAAAACAATTTGTTAAAACTAACAAGTAAACAAAAAAAATAAGTTTTTTTTGTTTTTTGACCAAACTCGACAGTCTTTCGTAATCACATTTTGAAGGAAATTTTGGTTACAGCTAAATCAGATCAGGGATTCCTAAATTGTTTTCCTCTTCTTTTTTTTTTAAATGTACTTAAAATGTCTTTCATTTTTACAGGTTCTGAGAAAACATATCCAGGTTCTGCATAAGTAAGTATTTTGGTAAAAGGTACAATAAAGCATAGGGTCATACCTTTACTGCAGAGATGACTGAGTGTCCGTTGAGGTCTGAAACTTCAGAAGTGTGTTCAGCGATGTTCGAGAGCGCTTTTATATCGTCCGTAGCTTTCACCCAGACACACGCAATCTAAAGCTTGTGCCCAATATGTCATCAGGAATCTGATAGCAGAAACTAAGAGAGCTTCCTGGTGAACAAAGTCCATCCAGTTCAATTCTATTGGAAAAACCTTTCTAAACAATTCATTCAAATTAAACTAACTTAACTCATCATGTTGAGCATCTTTAACAATTACAATAATCTAATTGGGATTTTAAACTTTAATTCTCTGATGAATGAAAAAAAAGAAACAAATTAAGAAAATATCACATGACTTGACAACTTGTTGTATCAGAGGTTAATTACTGATGTAAATACGTCACGGAAACCTTCACGGAAAGATAAATTTATTGCTTTATTTCAAGGATTTCAAAGATAAATGCTTTGTCTCATAGACGTAGGATCAAGCTTACACTCATTTGATCCATCTCATATCTAGAGCACGTTAATGAAATGACCTAAGTCTGCAATATAAACAGGAATGTTGTCAAGACAGCCGAAGATGTCATTTCAATTACTGATTTTTTTTTCCATAATAGACCAAGAAAAACTAACTTTGAATTCAGACCTCTTTGCCCATACATGTCTAACTCCCCATCTTCAGAAGTCACTTAAAGTCGAGTCTACCTGTCTATAATATTATCGCAACAACAAAACAACATTCCTTCTTTTGATTACTTAAAAATATTCCAAGCTTTCACCACTTGGCAGAGTTTAATTTAATCCTTTGTCCAAAAGCAGAGGATATAGTGCAACAGCAAACACATTTGAGAGACCTGACTTTTAGGGCAGAATACCAAAAAAAAAAAAAATATTGTTGAGTGAAAAACGATAAGTAATAGTTTGTCATGGGACGGGTAGGAAACACAGCACAGATGTGGAAGGAGCAGCTCTGCTTAGATTCTTTAGACCAGTTGAACTTCTATTACAACCTAGATATCTGGATACAATCTGGAGAAATTAACTCAGCATAGTCCCCTATTACAAAACAGGGGAAGGTTTTACTTTACCAGGGAAATTGGTCAGTGTTGATGAGAAGTAGAACAAAGGGTGATCCTTCCAGCGGGACAATAACCCTGAACGTTTAGTCAAAGCTTCAACAGGAAGGTCTGGATCAATGCACTTCAGTTTCGTTTATTCAGCACCAATTTACAGCATGTGTTGCTTCAACAGACTACACGACAAACAAATCCAGTTACAGTGTATATAAACACTCATATAAGAACATGACCTGACCATTGAACTAAAGCACAGACACATAAAGAAAGGTTCAGCATGAAAGAAATCAAACATCTCTTGACTCACCTTATCAGTATCTGGAGCTCCTTCAGGGCCTTCAGGTTTTCTCTCTATCTGCATTTTATCTTCTACATTTAACTGCAGTCTTTGGTTGGAAAATTCAGATTAAGGGTCTTTGCTCTTTGCTATTACTACATTATTAGCTATACAAACCAAGGAGTGATTATATTGGTTTAGTTTAAAATTAAATGTATGTGAAATGTGTGTTTCAAGGACATGTATGAGAGCCCTTCATAATCCAGATAACTTTAAATTTAAAGTTCTCAAGACCTCTGTTGTTTAATCCATATTTAGTTTTCCTTTATAGTTAAATATGTAGGTTTATATAACTTAGAGATTATGTCTACTGTATGTCCCTGTCTTCCTACTGTAGAAGGTAAAAATAAGACATTTCTGCAGGTAGATTGAGGTCGGTGAAGAAGCCTTCAGTTTCGCCCCATCGCCAAAACATAGCTAGCTTGCTCTGAAAGAAATCTGCAGCAAAATGAAAAACGTCAGCCTTTGGAAAAAAAACTGCAGTACAAAAAGAGGGAATAACTTTAAAATGTTCAAACTGACTTTGGGGAACTGTAAAGTGCCTTGAGATGACATGTGCTGTGAATTGGAGCTATCTAAATAAATCTAAATAAAATAAACTTTACATATTTACACTTTTTACCTTTTCAAAATCAATGTGTTTGGAACTAGAAAAAAATTAAGGGTGGTCCAATATTTCTTTTAATACTAAATATAAACGTTCCAATCAAATCATGTACAACAATAGGTTTAAAAGCAGGTGGCATGGACTCCAGTTAGGTCCTTGCCATAAAATTGAAGTTCAGTTTATCACTGAAAAAAGTAAAAAGTTTGGCATCTAAGAAATCCCAGCTGATTTAATCCAGTGACCGGCTTTGCAGCAATCCCTCCTTCTCAACATTTGGTGATAGGGGCCTTAGCTCACATTCTGCTAGCTTTGCAGCAATCCCTCCTTCTCAACATTAGGTGGTAGGGGCCTTAGCTCACATTCTGCTAGCTTTGCAGCAATCCCTTACACTGTGCATGCATGTGGAGACAGTGGAAAAACACATCATCAAAGTATAACCATGCCAAAGTTTAGATGAAAATTAAATTGGAATCTTTGGAAAATACGTTTTTTTTTTTTTTTTTTACAAAGAAAGAGAGGTAAAATATTAATAATTGCTAAACCTGCAGCTTTAACCCCAGTAAAAGGTGGTTCTAAATGGAATTCTCTAAGGAACTACATACGAATATGAATAGAGCAAACGTTTCAGATGTATATCTTTTAAAAATCACTTATATGCTTGCACAAAACCTCATTTGAAAAGTTATTTTAATAGCAATATTTGCAGTTTTTTATATTGTTAAACAAGTTAAGAAACAGCAATGTCCTCATTTTCATTAACAAACTCTAAAATATACCATATAAAGTACTTAAAGATTTTGTATTCCCTGTGAATCACTGATCTTATACTTGGTTGTATGATGTATCAAGTTCCTGCTCAGGATATTTGGCCTAAAATTTCCAACACTTCCGCGTTTTTTTGTCTTGCTTTAGACACAGCACACTTGATGTCAGCCTACAGGTTTTCTAGCGGACTGATGTTTGCAGATTGGCCTGATTGATGTTAATCCTGTTGATCTGATATGAGGGTTAACTGGTCCATTCTCCACAGTGGCCCAAGGCCTTCAGAAATAACTTCCTCCCTATGTCAAAAGCTGCTTGTTCCTTATGGCACTCCACCTAAAATGTAAGCTTGGAAGTCTCCTCTGAAATCTGCAATCTTTCTCGATGTCTTTGTTGAGCCGGTTCCCTTGTATAGATCATTTAGTTCATCCCTCTTATATAACCCATTCATCTTGGTGCTCTGCTTTTAACCAGTTTGAAGCTTCATACCTCCCACTTTTAAAGGAGCTAATTCATCAGATTAAATCATCTGGTTTTCACAGTGATCCAACTCCCCTAAGCATTTTTTGAAATATTTTTCCTTTAATACCGTAGGACTTTCTATCACAACTGTAATAAAGGCAGTTTTACAACAAGTGTTTTCCTTTTTTTTTTTTTTAGAAACATAATGCTTTTAAATCAACCTTCTAAAAACGGCAATCTTGATCCATCCTTTTTTTTTCCACATTTCTCAAAGATCCCTCTATTTTTCAGAAAATCTAAACTGAAAGAGCAAGTGACCCTTGGTGAACTAAAAAGCACCATAAAAAAGAGCTGTGGTGATTGTAATTTCTGTAGATAGTCCTGTTTTTATTAGTTTATTTTATTATTTTATGCTTTTATGCCCATAACAGCAAATGATTGTCATCACAAATTTTTGAATGCTGATACATTTAAATGGTGTTACTGTCTGTCCAGGTCTATAGATCTCAGCGAGTTTTTCTCTGGTTAAATAAATTATATATTATAGTTTCTTTTGACAATAAAATAGAATTTTTTAAACAGAAATTATATCCCTGAGGTGTTTCATTCTGATTTTAAAATGCATCAAGGCAGATTTTATGTTACAGTGAGAAAAAACAACTATTTGAACTGCTATTTTGCAAGTTCTTTCACTTAGAAATCATGGAGAGGTCTGAAATTGTTATGGAATGTGCATGTCCACTGTAAGAGACATCATTTGGAAAGAAAATCCAGAAATCACAATATATACTTTTTTAACTATGTATTTGTTTGATACAGCTGCAAAAAAGTATTTGAATACCTGTCTATCGGCTAGAATTCTGACCCTCAAAGACCTGTTAGTCTGCCTTCAAAATGTCCACCTTCACTTCATGCAATCAGTAAGAATCCAACTACTAACACGGCCAAGACCAAAGTGCTGTTTAAAGACAATAGAGACAAAATTGTACACCTCAACAAAGCTGGAAAGGGATAGGGGAAATTGAAAAGCAGCTTGGTGAAAACCATTAGAAAATGGAAGAAGCTAAACATGACTGTCAATCTCCCATGGACTGCGGCTCCATGCAAGATCTCACCTCGTGGGGTCTCATCCTAAGAAAGGTGAGAAATCAGCCCAGAACTACATGGGAGAAGCTGGGTCCACCGTTTCCATGGTTACTGTTGGTAATACACCAAGACGTCATGATTTGAAATCATGCATGGCATGGAAGGTTCCCCTGCTTAATCCAGAACATGTAGCATCATGCTTTGGGGGTGTTTTTCTGCAGATGGGACAGGGCGACTGCACTATATTAAGGACAGCATGACCAGGGTCATGTACTGTACTGCAAGATTTTGGAGAACAACCCTTTTCCCTCAGGTAGAGCATTGAAGATCGGGCGAAGCTGTATCTTCCAACATGACAATGACCCGAAGCACACAGCCAGAATAACCAATGAGTGGCTCTTGAAGAAGCGTATCAAGATTTTGGAGTGGTCTAGCCAATCTCCAGACCTCTTGGAGGGATCTCAAACTCTGGCCATTTCTCAATATGTGTACTTGTACCTTCTCATGTGCTCATTACTTGTGAAACGTCATCAACCTTGGCCCTAGTACTGTTCCAATTCACAAGAACAGCAAACCGATAACAAAGTCCGCGGATGTTGTTCTCGCCCCTCCCTATTTACAGAGTATGCATCAGAGCAGACCTGTCCAGTCTTGAGATTGCCCGCTGTCCTCTGTGTTTCTCAGCAACAGCCCAGAAACCTGACTGATCTAGAGAGGACCCGTGTGGAGGAGTGGGTCAGAAACCCTCCTAAAGTGTGTGCGAACCTGGTGAAAAACGAAAGGAAACGTTTGACCTTTGTATTTGCAAACAAAGGCTACTGAACCAAATAGTAGCATTGATTTTCTCAGGTGTTGAAATACTTATCTGTCATCCCATCATACTGTATCATACAAATAAATTGTTGAAAAAAAAACACCTACATGGTGATTTTTGGATTTGTTTTTTTAGATTATGTCTCTCACAGTGGACATGCACCTACAATGACAATTTCAGACCCCTCCATGATTTCTAGGTGGGATGACTTGCAAAATAGCAGGGTGTTCAAACACTCATTTTCCTCACTGCACATTTTATGGGGGATTTCAACTACATGAAGTATTTCTAGCTGTGATAACTATGCTTTCCTTTTGCTTTTAGAGCTGACAGTGAGCTGTCAGCTCTAAAAGCGTGGCATTTTATTTTCTTACCTTCAACAATGTGTTTATTATAAAGGTGCTGCCTGGTGGCTTCAGCCCACTGGACTGATAGGACAGTTTGTGTCAGCGTAAACAAGTTATGGCAATGGGGTGCCTCAAGAATGTATCTATGAATCCTTTTTCTTCTTACCACTGTTTATATATTATTTTTTTTCCCAAAACTTAAAAATAAATTTTATGTGATATGCTGGTAGTTATGAATTCTACACCCTTATGGCAAAAGTTGTTTATATATTTGTCCTTGGTATGGCTGAATTCAAAAATACTTTATCAATTTAATTTCCCATTGTGATTAATAAAGTATTTTATGAATAAAACGACTGATTGACATCAAGGTTCCAAGGCTTTAATAATAAAATCTGAGGTTTTGTCATAAAGTCTGAGTGGCCTCTGTTACTCCGTCTACCTGAAGACTCCTCATTTGAAGTCCACTGCCAACAATGAGGGGATAAAATTAAAAAGTGCCTTTAAATTTGAAACCCAAGTTAGCTCTGTGGTAGAAATATTGATACACGCCTTTATTACCACACGCCTTTTATTATAACAAGCTATGCTTTAAGATAAACTTTGTTCCCGCATTCAGTTTCTTAAAATGAAACTGATTAACTAGTAAATCAATTGTACAGGTGTACTGCTCCTCCCTGTGTGTTACACTTATTATTCAAATGTCTTACTGGCTTTTCTCTGTACTATCTTCAGACCTTTTTTTTTTAGCAGTATTTTAATTCAGTCTTTGAAACCTGTAGCTCTCGGACATTTAAAAAATTACAGGACTTTATTTTATGCGTTTATGCCCTTAAAACTAAATGATTGTTATCACATAACTTTGAATGCTGATACTTGATAATCATGTTACTGTCTGTCCAGGTCCTTGTTAAAAAAGAAGAGATTTTCTCTGGTTAAATAAATTATATATTATAGTTTCTTTAGGCAAATTTTCAGAGAGAAATTGTATCCCTGAGGTGTTTCATTATTGTGGTTTTTTAAAACGCTTCAGGACAGATTTATATTAGATTTTTAGGGGGGTTTCAACTACATAAAGTATTTCTAGCTGTGATAGCTATGCTCTCCTTGTGCTTTTAGATCTGACAGCTCACTGCAATGCAGTGGATCGTGGCATTTTATTTTCTTACCTTCCACAATCGATTTATTATAAAGGCGCTGCCTTGGAGTGGCCTCAGCCCACTGGAGTGGTAGGACCTTTTACACTAATCGGCCACTTTATTAGGTACACCTGTCCAACTGCTCGTTAACACTTAATTTCTAAGCAGCCAATCACATGGCGGCAACTCAGTGCATTTAGGCA